AATTTGCTTGATATTTGTGAGAATTTTAGAGACATAAAATTTATAGTTGAAAAATAATTTAGAGATATTGGGTGAAGTGTGAATAGTATGTAATGATTTTTTAGTTGTAGTTATTGTGTGGGTATATTAATGGGTTTTAGAATTAGAGACTTGGAATTGTAATAATTTCTTTTTTTCTTCATACAACAAATGATGTATTTATATGTATTTTACAGATGTCTTACGAAAAATCTAGAAAATTTTCTCTTTTCTACATCTTTATAAAGTTTTTTAGATAATTCTACATTCATATATGTTCTCTTTCTTTTTTTATATAGTTCTATACCAAATCATTAAATCTTTTGCCTTGTAAAATTTTCTTCTAAAATCTTTTAGAGAATTTCTAGATTTTTTTTTACTTTTCTAGGATATTCTAATATAATATAAAAAAGTTTTATTAATTTAATAAATATTAGTTAAATCAAATGATATCTCATGTTTAAATTTTTTTTTTCTCATATTATTTCTATAAGAAAAAATAAATAAACTATAGTCCTCTAAATTCCATTCAGAGCCTTGTTGAGAATAATAATTTGCAAATTCTAATATGTTTACACTCTTTATTTTACTAGAAAGTTAAATTAAATGTAAGTTATGATTATAATACTTAATATGTGTCTTTTATGTTTTTCTATATAATTTATGTATTAGACATAATTATAGTTCATGAGTTAAATTTAATTATGATTCAGGTATTTGAAATTTTTAAAGTTATATTAGTATTTATATATATTCATGTACTTAAAAATTTATATATGACACTACAAATTAAAAATTGAGTCTTTCTATCAACCTTTCATTCTTCTTTCTCTTAGTTCCAATAAAGTATTACCTAGAGTTAACTTATCTCTCCAATTTTTTTTAACAAAATGGTATTAGAGCTTGATTTTTTAGTTTATTGATCTCTAGAATTTTAGAGATATGATTAGAAATAATTTATTCTCATTTCAATTCTCTCGTCTTATAAAAGAACAAAAAAATGAGAGTTGGTGTCTTTACATAAAAATCATACTTGGCTCACAAATTGTGCGAGATATTGTAAACAAAGACTTTACTCTACCCTAAAATGAGCATTATTGACTCAATATGAGAATGATGTTTTAGAAAAAACAAGGAATAATAGATCAACTGGCCTTTGCTCTCATCCATCAAAGTTTCGATGAATTTATATTCTTAAAGGTAGTTGATGCTACTGGCACAAAATAAGCTTTGGAGATTTTGAAGAATTTCCTCCAAAGAACCGAGAAGATGAAAAAGGTGAGATTTCAAACTCTACAAAGTGAATTTGAAGTTTTACAAATAAAGAACATTGAATCTATTTTAGATTTTTGCTTAAGAGTAAAATATAGTAGGTCAAATAAGGAGACGAAAGAAGATGTTCGTGTGGTGTGAAAATTCTTAATCTTTACTACTAAAATTTGATTATGTTATGTGTGCCACTGAAAAGTTAAAAGATCTAAAAACTATGGCTTTTAAGCAATTAGAGGGATAATTACAAGATCATGAAGACAAAATAAAGAGAAAACAAGAAGAGCCTTAATAACAGATTCTCAAATCGAAGGTCTTTTTGAATGGTGGTGGAAGACAGAGAGGACGAGAACAAGGACGAGCCCCAGCAGGAAGAGGTAGAGACAATTGAAATTCAAAAACTCCTTGATGAACACAGTGTCATTTTAGACACCAAGAAGCATGAATTTGAATTGAAAGTTGGTCATAAGAGAAAATCTATGGATGAGGACCTGAAACCAAGGTTACTAAAGTGGGGAAGAAAGGAATTGAAGTAAAACACTTGAAGGAGAGGGCTGCAAAATAAGAATAGGCATTAGATAAGAAATTGGAGAAACTTAAGGAGGAAGAGAAAGATCTTGACTCGAAACTAAAAATTTAAAAGAATTTCACTAGGCTCAAAAGAAGCTACTAAGATTTATATTAATGACAAGTCTGCACAAGCATTAGCTAAGAATTAAATATTGCATGAATAAAGTAAGTGCATAGATACAAAGTATCATTTCATTAGGGATTGCATTGTTAAAAAGGAAGTTGAGTCAAGTACGTAAAGACTCAAGATCAAGTTGCAGATATTTTCACTAAGCCACTCAAGTTTAAAATTTTTCAAAAACTACGTGGTATGATAATTCTTCCATAAATCTTACTAAAAAATTAAGTTAAATGTATATTATAAATATGATAATCAATATGTTTTTTAAATTTTTTCTAAGTGATTCATATATTAAATTTAATTACGGTTCATGAATTAGAGTTAATTACAGTTCATATATTTAAAATTTTAAGAATTGTGTTAGTGTTTATATATATCCATGTATTTGAAAATTCATATGTACCGACACAAATTAAAAATTGAATCTTTCTATTAATATCTCATTCTTTCTCCCATTCCCAACAAAATATTAATAGAGTTGTCCCATCTCTTAAAATTTTTTCCAAGAAGCCCCAACTTCAAAAGTTAAAAAATCTTGTGATGAGCTTGTTTTCTAACTGCCAGCTTTGGAGCAAAAATATAAAACCTTATTAAAAAATTTTACATGTTCTTTAATAATAACTTACAGGTAATCTAAATTTCTGATAAACATTCTGTTATACTTCTGCTTTTGACAAGGTTCTAATGTGCAGCAATTAAAGAGCGAAACAGATAGCATGGCCAAGAAGATTGAAGCCCTTGAAGCTTATAAACGGTTCATGGCCTATTACAACACTTCTCCTTCCAGAAATTTAGCATTCACTTGTTGCCATCCAAAAAATTTCCTGAATCTATGAATTGGGTGTCTCAGGAAACTGTTGGGGCAAGATCTAGGTTTATGTTCTATTGAGGAACTTCAGGAGATTGACAGAAAGCTAGAGACCAGCTTAAAAAATATTCGGGCAAGAAAGGTAAACAAAAATTGAAGTTAAAAGCATTTTCTGTCTTTAGTTCTAAAAGAGACAACTAGGAACCTAACAGAGCCTTAAATGTGTTCAGGTTCAGTTATTCAAGGAGCAGCTAGAGCAACTAAAGGAAAAGGTACTAAAGTTTAGATATCAGATATTAGAAAAGGAAAATGAGTCTAAAATACGAAAGGAGACCCTTTTCTTTTTTGGGTTAAAAGGTGTTAAGTTAGGAGTACAAAAAAATCAAGACTGGAAGAAACTATCTTTAACTTGGCTTCCAGCATGTTCATTGCTGCACTTAGATATTTATACTAAAATTCATCTTCTCTATCGCTATAAATGCAGGAGAGGTTGTTGTTAGAAGAGAATGCCAGGCTATCGACAAAGGTGACACCTTTCTTCCTTTCAGAACCTCATTTACTTTATACACATGCATATTTATGTATATGGCTTTAAGAATCTTTACTGTAGCTGCTTCAACTTTTAGATCCAAAAATTACATGGCAGTTACATGTGTTTTTTCTCGCATTAACACTAGCTAGTCAATTGCCAAATCGTATATCATAACTGAATGCCTCCAAAAATGACATGTAGCTCGGATGAAAATGTCAACTTTTCTACCTTACTAGGTCCTGAGTTTCAGTTCTTACAAGCTGTTAGTTAAGCTTTACTTGTATTAAAAGAAAAAAGAATTAGGGTGACTGTGGATTTCATCGTACGCGATAGTCAGGAGCTCGATATTGTAGTTTAGCCTCTGTGATACAAAATGTAATGTATATTTCATGTATATATCACACCAAAAAAAAAAAAAAAAAAATGATCATGATACTTGTAAGCTGAGTTATAGTAGGTAGGATTCTTGGTGGGTAGCAGGTAAATAGGGCCGATTTGATGGTGGCTAGATAACATTACTTGGTGATACTTTGATGTTTTGACACTTAAAAAATAGTGTAAGTAATGGCAAGATTTTCAAGGACAATGATTGTTGATGCGGGTTTCTTTATACATTTAAACTACATTAGCTTGCTCCAACTACATGGCTGCAACCAAGACCAAGACAACAAAAAGAAGCTCTAATCAATTTCAACCTAAATAGCGACCACAGATCAGATGTAGAGACTGAACTGTTCATCGGATTACCCGATAATCGCAGAAATGAGCCAGCATTGATATGATTTACTAGTATTTGAAAAAGAAATGTGCATTTGGTTGATCATCAGGAATTCTTCACTTCAACAATCAAATAACTCACTATCCTCGATCTATACTTCTGCTATGGCTTTTACTAATTAAGTGGCTTAGATGTCAATTACATTTCAACATTTACTAAGCTCTTGCCTTCAGTTTCTGACAGCTACTATGTATATCTATGATTTGAACTTGTTGAATAGTGTTGTTAAATGTTGTATATATGTTATATATTGTATGAAATGTACGGAGAAGAAAAAATAAAATTATGAAAAAAAATTCTGCACTCAGTTAATGATTCATGCGTGAGACTTGGAATATGGGAGTGGCAATGCCAATTCATATCTGTTTGAATGTAAGAGAGTCTAATTGAATAATTTATTTTAAAATAGAATTTACTTTTGAAAATTTTACTTAGATTTCTATCTCTAGTTTTGTTATAAAAAAAAAAAAAAAGGTAAAAAAGAAATTCGGTTTTCAGTTAAAGTTATGAATATATTGACAAAGTCCAAAAATTGAATGAGTGGCACATGTCTATTCACACCAATTTTGTAAAACCATCAGCAAATATATATATATATATATATATATATTTATATTTCTCCTGACATGATAAAATCCATTAGATTTCAAAATTTTAAATTTCGTTTAGCTCCATGGTAGGAAAGAAATATGCAATATTATCTAAAATCCAAACCATGAAATCACTTTTCATCGTCTATTTGACCCAACGAAACTAAAGAGTATTCCCAATATCAAACCGCAAAGCTTTTCAATTACAAGAAAATCTATCCCATTTGAAACCATTAGACTTAATATTAGTCTTTGGAGAATGAATATACACAAAACAAATATATCCCATTTGTATGTGTATTGATTTTTTTCTTTTTATTTTGAAAAATAATGATTATTTTTCTCTTACCAATTATTATTATTATTATTATTTTTTTTTTTTTTTTGACCCATCTTAACATATCAAGATCTTAAATGTTTAGCAATTAAATTAATTAGTACCTGCTTCTGCAAAAACCCATTTCCTAAAACCTTCAACAGAAAAGACCCATAACTTATTGGCCCAATACACTGACTAGTATAAATGGCAATAAGAAATTGGGCCTTATGATTTGACAACACCTTCAATTTGGAATCTTCAATGCTACAATCATTTCTGTAGCCATGACAATTATTGTTTCTCTCAATTTTTTGAAATTCAAGAATTTCGATTAATTTTTAGCATTACCTAATTAATTAAACACAAAAAAGTAAATCATATCAAAAAAAAAAAAAAGAAAGATGTAATGGGTAAAAGTAATAACGCTCTCTCTACAATTATGCGTTTGTGTTCTTTTCTTTTGTTTTCTCATATTCAATAATTAAGCTTATCCTTCTGCATATATATATATATATATATATATATATGTAATAATATTTTTGAGCTAAAACAAAAATGTAGGCTACCCCAGCTCACCAGCACACGCTCCTCTCTCTCTCTCTCTCTCTCTCTCCTTTTTGTGCTCATAGTTGCGTGTTGAATCATGATGATGTTTCAAATTGATCAGGACACATGAATATATAATATACATACATACATATGTATATCAGTAAAATGTTTTTGTAATGTTTCATATTGACGGCACATGATATATATTACTAAAATGTTTCACATTGACGACGGTGTAGCTGAATATGGCACAGGCCATTATGATATACTGCTATTTGAAATTGTTTCTTGACCGATCAACCACACACGCCTACACATGTACAAGTAAAATTAACACTAAAAAAAAATTCATCTATCAATTTAAATTGAAATTTTTTTTCTATTTGAAATCCACCACCTTCCTACCTCTCAAGTAGTTTTTTGTATAATTAAAATTTCTGCAAAAAATATACGTTGGTGTTATAACTCTTAACATCAATAATTACTTTTTTGAGGTTCTAACATACAAATTATATATTAATTTATCTTTACAATTTAATGTCTTCTTACTTTTTTTAAAAAAAAAAATTAACAACTTTTTTAGAGATACTCTTTTTTTTTTTTTTTTTTTTTTTTTTTTTTGGACAACTTAAACAGAAAAAGAAATAATAATAATTAAACCGGTAAAAGTACCAAACCCAAGTTGAGAAAAATAAAATTTTATTCTGAAAATCATGTAAAACACTGTTTATGCATTGAGACTTAAAGAATAGAAGAGAATAGAAAATAATGAGGAGACCGTACAGGAGGAAGGGGTTGATACCGCGAACTGGGCCACTTTGAATTTGAATCTGTTTCTTCTTCTATATTATTATTATTATTATTATTATTAAATTTAATTCAGCAGTCAGGATGGAGGAATATATTGTATGCAGGAATCTGCCAAGTTTTGCGCACAACTGAATCTATCTGACCCAAATTCAATATTACCCAATAATCTATACATAAGCATACACATATACATACACACACACACACACACACATGTACACCTGCATACACAACAAAATTTGAAATTTTGAAATAATAATATATATATATAAACCCTTATTAGCTTATCCAAATTATTAAAAAAAAAAACTATTAAAAGTTAATTGAAAAAGTTTGCAGATTCCCACAAATTAAATCGTACTTTCTTCTTCTCCTTTTTGCATGGGTTAACACTTTTTTGATTCCTTAAACCAGTACCATCCTAGTTTAAGGTTAATTACCTCTTCATCATTTCCCTACTTTTCTTTCACTTCATATAATATCGCCTTTTATTTTTATTTATCAGTCCCATATATGTATATGTATATATATGTGTGTGTACTGAGGAGAGAGTTACATAATGTTATTTAGGTAATCAAAGGCAATAATCCTGGTTTTCAATTTCGATTATTAAAATATATAGTGAGTGCCTATTGAAACTTCAGAATTAATTAACCAGTCTATAAAAGCTATTTGTTTAGAGTTTATTGAGGGATTTAAATAATTATGTTCTTAATAATATTAGATGACATATTCAAATGTAATATTTACTCTTACTATTCATTATTTATTTTTTATAGTTCTATTCCTACATTATTTTAAATTTATATTTATTAAAATAATAACTTCAATATCATCAATGAAATTCGAATAATTATTGTCCTGTGAAAATTTTATTTCAATAATAAGCAATAATATATTCTCTCTATTAGAGAAATTTATTTAATTGATATATAATCTACCACGTTATTAAAATTTAGATTTCTATGTACGTCGTTAATAATTATTTTATAAAAAAATTATACAGTAAATTTGATTCTCTTCTAAGATAAAATCAATATATTTTATTTTATTTTTAATTTTACTAAAATGATGAACTATATATGTATGTATATATATACCAAAATTATAGCTCCTTTCACGTAGGAAGATAAGAACCCAACTATAAAATTTTACATATATATATGCACCACATCACAACAACATCATTTAATGGACTCAGATCTCTTTGCCATCATAATTTTATCAACATCACAAGTAAAGTTTATTGCATTTATACTTACACACGTTTCCTTTGCATTTTCTCTTTTTCTTATTTTTCTGCATGCATGTCTTTTGAATTTCCCGCCTCATCTACTTCATATGTGTGTGTGTGTCTATATATATATATATATATATATATATATTAAATTTGTATCCCTCATTGTTGGCTCTATGGTTCAAGCTATAAAGCTCACTATTTTATAGCAGTCTCCATGATTCAATTTCGACTTGTTGATGTTCATTAATTTTGTTTTGTTCAATTTTGAAAACTTGGAGAGTTTAAAGTCATAATTGACTCCTTAAATATTGTTTTGGAGACGTGTTTTTCTGCAATTAATGTGTAGTTTTCATTAAAAAATAATAATAATTGTTTAAGTAAAATAATTGAAAATATAAATGTACTATTAATTAACTAAATCTAAATTAATATTCAACTTAATTGACTCGATTGGATCCAACATATATTATATACATATGTATTATTTACCTAACCTAAT